GGTGGAATTTTTCACAACCTGTTGACATTAACTGGTTACAAAGTAGACATGATAGGGCTTTGATTTAAAGAGTTGCAAATCAGAAAGGTTGAGAACCTATAATGTACTGGAAGTAGTCATATGTTGTAGCCCCTTAGTTTGCAGACTACCATTTTGAAAGCCCAAAGTTTGGCATTTGGTCTTTCGCCATTGTGTTTTTTTGGAGTGACCATATTATGGCGATGGAGCCTTGGAGGATCGAGACCCAATACAGTCAGGTATTGCTTGAATAGCAAATCCTTAGAAGCTAATGCTAATAATAGCTTAGTTTGGAAGGTCCATTATTAATTCAGGTTAACTGTGATATTATTTCGGATGATAATGTTGGCTAGCGGAAAATCATGCTTGAAACAAAATGTACTTAACCTAAAAAATCTAATGATAATCACATTGTGGCAGCCACACCTTGTGATCATGGTCGCAATTTGTCAATTACAAATGAGCTATCCCTTATAGCATACCTTGCTTTTTTCTAATATTCAACTCTTAATCTGACCATAATAGACAAAATGAACATCATGCTGTATTTAAATAAGATCTCAGAACATCCTTAGGAAAATGTTGAAAAAATGAAAATCAAATTAGAAGTAGTGTCATTTTCTCATAGACCTCTATGGAATCAGACTTATTTTTGCAATCAACAGAGTCGTAATACACACATATATATAGTGACTATACTTAATTTCCCCAAATGTAACAATAACACTCAACGTTAAAACAATATTCGGAACTAAACTTGTTCTGACCTAACTTTGAACTTCAGCTTTTGTCCAAGAGATTCAGGATCTCATAAACCTTTTAAACAACCACACCCAAAATCCAGCTTTTCCTATATTTTTTCTGGAGGGCATACAAAGTGCTGAAGGGGATGATTAGATCTGATGACTAAATGGAAAAAAGACATCTGGCCTTGTGTATCACTTCTGTATACAGTATCAATGCTGATTTATACAGTATTGAATTGCACCATCGGTTTCCGTCAATGATGATTTAAACTCATTGAAGTTCCAACGACCCTGAACACGGTGGTATATTTGTATTAAGATGTTTTAAATGGATGTGTGTGTGCACCCATCACACTCCTGATTCTGGACGGGGCTTGTCACACTCTAATCATTAGTACACACAGTCATAAAGAAAACAAGATCGTAAGTTGACGATAATTAATGAGTATTTTGGGAGGTTTGGCAGCTCCAAGGGCGGCCTTCAAACAAAGAGTGTACATGAAAAACAATCAGAAGTCAAGGGAACACAAAGCATACTGCCAGGCTGCCAGTAATTGCTGCAACTGAACAATACCTTGCCACACACACACGAACACACACACACACACACACACACACACACACACACACACACACACACACAC